CCCACAAAAAAGGAAGCATTTCGCCTTAAATGTATAGAGAAATAAGTAGGTACACGGCTGTGTTTTCATTTCCATTTTTATTTTGCAACATTGAGCTGACAGGTGAAATGAAATTGCGTGGGCTGCATTTACACATTCCTCCGCAGCATTTTCTACTTCAACTTTGGCTTATCCCTCCGGCCCCACTTTGAATACGCCATGGAGATGGAAAAATTCCAGGGAAAACATTGACAGCCACAAGTATATGTACCTACGAATTTTCCATTCCCATTTCCACTTGTAGTTCGTGGCTACAACTGCAAAATGACAGCACACAGTGGTTTAAACAAGAAATACCAGCCAGGTAAGCTTCCTTCGGGAGCTTAACAATAATGGCCAAGATATTTTGCCAGATTCAACTGCAAATGTAAGCCGAAGCTTTGCTACGAGTTTTGGGGCAGTAGTTTGGCAATATGAGTTTCCGGATACAGCCTTAGCTGCATAACAGACCACAAATAGTGTCTGAGTAAATAGACAATTTATACGAATTCAAGCACTTTAAGAGTCAAGTTACCAAGTAACTTTAAAGTCGGCTTGGGCCCCATAAATCCTGTTGGTCTTGTTGCAGTCGCCGCAATTAGAAAACCCGCCACTCAGTTGCTCATTGATAGCTTTAAGCTGCCAGGGCCACTTGCCAGTTGCCTCTTACCACTTACCACCTACCACCTACCACCTACCGCCTACCACTTACCACAAAAGAGCCGAGAAACGAGTCAGCAAAATCGCGCATACGGCCCGTGGCCAGCTGCATCAGCTTGAATAGCAGCAAATCGCCTTAGCAGCTTGCGGGAAAACCCTAATAAACCAGCAAGGAACTGCACAGTTAAGCCTTCTGCGGCTGCCACGCCCCCTTCACAAGTCGCCTTCTCGATAGTAGGCGTTGCCTTCAACTTTGACCAGAGCGATTTAAATCTTTGCTGGGGAATATAAATTTAAGAGTGCCCGCTTACTTATCTAAGTCTATGACTTTGGGTTAGGCGTTCGGGGTTCGACGACGATGAGTCAGAGAGTTGGGATCTGGGATCTGGGATCTGATGAGGAGGAATGGGATGGCTGTGCTTTTTATGCCCGCCATTTTGCCGCTGTCTCTTGGCGGAGGAGCGGCTGCCGCTTCTTGCTACAAATCATGATAATAAATTCCAATTTTATTTAGTCAGTGAGGCGGCAAAGCACCCTTGTCATCGTCATCGCCAACGAAAAAAAAATGCGGGGAAGGGAAAGAGTAGGGGGAAAGGAAGCTCCCGGCAGCCAAATAAAGGCAGACGAACCGCTTCATCTGCTTGGCAAAAAAAGGGTCTGTGTTTCAACTACTTGGATTAACGGTTCAGTTTTATGACTTTTTATTTTATACACACCCAGCGCCCCACAGCCCACTTCCCACATCCCACATTCAACTTTCCGCCTTCTGGCTTCTGGGTTGTGTATCCGCCAGTTAAATAAATACACTCCCAAATTGACTTGGCCTGCTTAACTTTTGGGCAGACATAATCAGGCCTGATTATAATGAATAGTTGGGGCTGGCCAAATCGGCAAACAGCAAAACCAGAGGCGACACTCAGTCGGCCAGCTCATCAGTCAGTGTGGCCAGTGCAGTTTGGAGCGGACCGCAAAGCCCCTCGTTATTCCATCGCCGTCGCCATCTCCATTTCCATTTCCATACCCTTGAATCCTGCGCCCTGCATCCAGCATCCTGCATCCTACTCGAAAACTGAGAGCTGCGGGCTGGTGCAGCATCAGCGCCAGCCAAAACACATTAGCCGTGTGCTAAAAATGTCGCACAGCCCAGGCGCAACGCACATATCCTTCGAGTGGAGAGCTTCTAGACTTTACGACCCGAATTTCTGGATACACAGTTTTATTTCTTAAGTTTTAGTAGTACCTTCTTCTGTAGTACTCGTAGTAGTACTCATTCTTTTTCTTCCATACTTTATAAAAATAAAAGTGTCAACCCTTGATAATTCTAGATATGCATTGCTTTAGGAAGCTTCTCTTGCGCAAATCACATAGGAGGATAGTTGAGTGATATTTTATGGGGCATCTAAGGTAACATATTCCTCAATGGAATCCTCTTCAAATCATAACCCCATAAGAACATGAAAATGCAAGTTAAATCGGTCGGAATGATTTAATAGGTGGTAGGCTTGTTGGAGATCTTTCGTTAATTGAACATTCTTGAAGTGACCCTCGTTAGCAGTGAGTGACCAGGCGGAGGGCCCTTTTTTCTGTCGTAGCTGAGCTGGCAGGACATGTGGCAGTTGGCAGTTTGCTGCGCTTTCCCCGCCCAGCCCCGCCTCCTGCTTTTGGCTGTGGCTCTTCATTGCCTGTTGGCAATTACAACGTTGCAATGTTGATGGCATTTTCTTTCTTTTTTATGCATATGTATGCACACACACACATTCACACACACACACACACACACAGGACATAACGATGCTCGCAGACAGGCAGCAGCTTACAAGGACATCCACAGGGGGTGGGAAATGGGCTGGAAGGGGCGGGGCGGGGCGGGGCAGTGGCTAGTCACTTCCGCCTTGCCCGAAGAGGTCGTTCATTTTTTCATAATACTCTTTCTGCTCTTTGAGTTCGTTCAGTCCTTGATTGCATTGGCCTTTGTGCATGTGAAACTAATTACACGGCATAAAGAACGGGTGATTAAAATTAAATGTGCAGATTAAAACTTAAAGGATATCACATTAGCCATAGTGGATGCCCAGATAATGAGCTAAATGGGGTAAATAATTCGATTATCTTTGACTTTGCCTTTATCGATTCATTATTGATTCGCCTATGCCCGGATATGCCCTGCCTTTCGAGACACCTTCCCCCTCGCGGAACTCAGCTGTTAATGTAAATATATCTTACAGCATTATCGCATTCGGGTAAGAGGGTTCACTTCACTCGACAGATTTCACTTGCAACATTATCCGTATCCGTAAAAACATATACATTCGTCTGGGGGTTGATTTCCGTTTTTTGGGTGGTTGCAACTGGATACCATTTATTCTGTATACAAACTGTTTTTGTTTTACCTAAGCTATTGCTTCATTATAAAATCGATGGGGGACGAAGTGTAAACTACCCTTTGAGGGCGCAAGTAGGGGGTAATCAGATTGTTCATCAAAGGAGCGCAGCTAGGTGCTTTGGTTTCGGTTCGGCTTTGGTCCGCCTGCTCAAAGCGGTTGATTCAATGACCGAGCAAAGCTTTTCGAATTGAATTTTACGGGAGCGGGTCCCCAGAATGTCTCCATCGTTGCTCTGGACTCGTTGTCAACGGATTGGTGTTAATGTCCTTTGGCATTGTTGCACTGCCAGGACGACCAGGACGACCAGGACAACCAGGAGGACCAAGTCGACTGTGTGCAAAATAGACTGAAATTGATGATGTCACTTGATAGGGCGAATGGGTTTTTCATTTTTCACTTCTCGCTCTCGCATGCACCCATTGCCCGTCCCTGCCCAATCTTCGGGGTCCTGCAGATCCTTCGTGTTCGTGTTGTTTAACAAATTCATCCTGTTGCTTGCGCTTCAGTGCGTGATGCCCAGCAGATTGCAGGGTGACTGTGTGTGTGAGAAATGTGCATTTGATTCGGACACACACTCATGCAGAGAAAGCAAATTCGGGAACCTGAATTCGGGGCTTAGGCAATGAATCAATAAAGTCTGGATTTAAGTCTGACAGCCGTTTTCTATTTTACTTGTGGGAAAAGTCGTTAAATGGTGAAGAAGTTTGCATTTTTAATGTACAGAAATTTGAAATTCAACTTCTTGGCTTGCTAGTCATTCTTTCAGTGTTCTGGCATAATTGAACATCTCTTTTTCTTGTTTTTCGGAATAGAAGGAACACGCAGCCATTGTTGTGCATCGACCTGTTTGATTGGCTTTTCTTTTGCACGTTTTTAATTAGTGGAAATTCGGAGAGATCGGGCGAAAGTGGGTCCGCAGCCGTATCCTGTGGAACGGAATGGAATGTTGTCCTTTGGCGCATTAAACAAACGAAATATTTCATAAGCGCATTGCGCTCCGGCCACAATGCCAAATGATTTATATGCAAAGTGGCATAAGCACACTCGCATACCATGTGTGTCTGTGTGTGTGTGTGTGTGTGCTGGCCCTGTTTTCCCATCCCCATCCCTGTCCCTATTTTACCTAGGCCAAACCAAACAAACCGGTAGCAATCGAGCGAACTTCACTCCGCAGCTTTGGCTACAAATTTTCCAAAATTTATAACAAAGGCCCACACACACACACACACACACACGTGCATAATTGGAGGGAGAAAGGACAAGGGGGCAGAGGGAGGGGATAAAGGACCCCAGGGTATTGGCTACCTTACGGTTGAGTGGCTCCTGGCTCATGGCTCATGGCACTTCGGCGCCAGCGCTTCGGCTTTGGGGTCTTTGCCTCGCAATGGATGACAATGTAACCAGGAGACTGTAAAATTTATGCACTTTTAGGATTGTTTGCAATGTGCTCGAAAGGGAATTGTTCCATTATGCGATAAGCATTGGGATTCTCTCAAGGTGTTTTACTATACAACAAAGGCACCTATTCTGCGCCGGCTCCTTAAGATATTGCACTGCTGCACTGGGTCAAACTGGAAATTAATTATCCACTTATTCCTCTTCCCATCTTGAATAGAAGTTCCCATTCTTTTCACTAAATGGGTGAAATATATGTCTAACCCTTCTAGGAGTAGAAATCGAACTTCGTTCCTGCAGTCCTTTAAGAAAAAAATCCAAAGTGCTCAGCAATCTCCACTTCTTTCTCCATATCAAATACTTTTAAACTAAGAGCATCCCGAAACCAATCTTGGAGTTAGAGCCCTGATTATTCCGCATCAAGTCAATTGAAGTCACTGAATGCAAAGGATTCGCGAGCAAGGATTTCATGCGCATCTCTTAGAATCACCATTTCTTTTGCTGTCCTCGGAAACCCATTGAAATTCCCCTCTTCGGACTCACCTTGTTGGAATTGCCATTGAATTTCAATAGTTTCTTGCAGGACTTGCCGCGGCTCTCGAAGTAGATTTCCTGCGGCGTCCTTCGGCGTCGCTGTCCGGAAGTCGCAGCTGTTGTTGCACCGCCAGCAGTGACTCCTTTGCGCTGCAGTTGCAGCTGGGAGAAGGGGTCGCTGCCTGCCACCGATTGCGTGGCTTTGTGGCGGCTCACACAGAGGAGGCGGCTCAAGATGCCGCAACAGCCGCTGGGAGGCGCCGCCCCAGAAGCTGCCTCACCTCCTGCCAATGTCCTTGTTGCCCCAGTGTCGGCTGCGTTGTTATTGGAGCAGCGGGCGGATATGGTCATTAGGTTGCCATGGCGGCCAGTCGGGCGATTAACGTCCATTTCCATGTTGGCTAGCAGCGGAATTGTTGCCTACTTGGCGGCGTCGTTTTCCTTTGTTGATTTTTCTCAATTTCCAGAGTTTGTTTACAATTTTTGATTGCGGTTTCCCTGGCCGCAGGCTGTATTGTCCTTCGTCCTTCGCCCTTTCCCTCTTCTGCTTTTTTTTGTCACTGTCTCTGTTCTGTTGTTGTTTACTGGTGGTTAAAGTCTCACCGAAAAACTTGGCGCCCTCACACAGAAACACACATACACACGCGCACAAAACACGTAGCACTCACACCAGAAGAGGAAAATGCGGAATCTCGCAGGACCTCGCAGCGCGACGAAGTTCACAGGACAAAGTCAGCGAGCCAACTGATAAAAGCCATGGTTTCTGGCTCGGCAGTCTGCGCTCTGCAGGGTTGCCAGCCTTTCGGAGGAGAGCAGGACGGGACTACAGGACGAAAGAGTCGGGCGAAGCCGAGCGAAAGAGAGAGTGCGCAGGCACACGAGTCCTTCGGACATGAATCACCTTGTGTGCATGAATGAAGTAAAGTTATTACGGTCTGCCCCCCGGTTTCATTTTTTCCGTGCCCCATAGTTCCGTAGTTCTTGCTGTTTACGTTTCCCAGGGTCAAAGTTGTACAGCCTCCCGCTTATGTTTGTAATTGTTTGTGCGGCAACCGAGCGCCGCCTCATGTTGGCCTGCGAATTTTTCGGTTCTCGGCGAGGGAATACTCGAGTGGTAATGGGTACCGAAAATGGGTTCCGTTGGACTAATGAAGAGCCATTATTTGTGATAATTGTCTCCTATAAAATCGTTACGAACATCCTTCAAAAGGTCATAATAAATAATAATTTTCCATTTAGCCCTATCTAGTAAGGTAAGTTATCAAACTTATCGCTTTACGATAGAAAACTTACATTAGGTTATAAAAATGTTTGATCCTCATTTCCCTATTCATTTTTAACAATACTATTGTTAAGAATCCTTTTCTATTCCTTCGTATAGTGTTAATATTTAATATAAAATGTTAATGAAAACTTTGTTAGTTTCTTAAATGATTATATTCGTTTCGGAATGCTTTTAAAGAACCCCACTCATGAGTATCAAAAAGTTGGGAGTGTGGGAGGAAAAACAATTTAATTTCGGCCAACACGGATGGGAAAAAGAGGCTGTGTGTCCGTGTATGCGGCTTGTGTGTGGTGGTGTCTGTGACTATGAGTGCTTTCTGCTCTAGACGTAATTTCAATGTTTCAACGTAATCTTTGATTTGATTATGCTGTTGAGCTGGCCTCCCGAGGGGCGGGTCGTGAGTGTTTGCCAGTGTTTGCTTGCCAGTTTGTTTGTTTGTTTGTTTGTCTGACTGTTTGTTTGTGTGCTTGTGTCTGGACCACTTCCGGGCAAAGCTATAAACGGATTATAAAGTAATTTAATGCTTTTTGTTGCCGAGGATTCCGGGATGCCGAGGAGCCGCCTCGTATGCGGATGTGCACATTTATATTTTTGGTGAGAACGCATTTGGACAATAAAAACTTTTAATGTTTGTTGTTTGTCTCTCAATTTATTTAGCACGCGTCACGCATACGCCCAGTTGGCTGCGGCCAAGTTGGGCGCTCCTTTAATGAGTTGGCGGTTTTAGCCGAGCAGTTGAGCAGTCGAGTTGGCCAGAAGGCAGCCATAGCTTTGGCTTCGGACCCGTAATTAATGTCGGCCTCGTCATTTGCGGGCCAGTATGTGCCTGGCTGATCATTTTGGCAACATGTTTATCTGGCCCAATGCCCATATATTAATGTCCGCACACACGGACACACGCATTCCGTTAGATTGTCACATTAATTATGCACGTTAAGCTGTCAACGTGCGCAATATTTTTGTATCCTCAATGGCCACATCCTCTGCTCCATATCCCCACTAGCCCCAAGTATCCTGCGAGTCCTTGTGTGTCTCCGGCGATTCCTTTGCCATTTTTCTTGCTTTCATCTCGGGCGATAAGAGCGTCTTAGTTTATCTTTATGCCCGGGCTCTGCCGGCGTCTTGTTTCTGCTTACATCTTGCTGTTTGCCAAATAAATACGTTTGATAATGCGACACGACCATCATATTGATGAGGCTTCCGATTCCGCTTGCTTAGCGTTAAATGGAATGAAGTGCCAAACACAAGTTCAACAAGCAAATAGATTACAGGACCAGATACGAGTTTACAGATGCCCAGCTGCAGGTGGGCGAGGGGTAAGGATGAGTTCATAACCGAGATTGAGATTTTGAAGCAGTCGAAATCGTTAAGATGGGGAAAATGTCGGTTTAAGAGAACAGAAACTCTTAAATAAAGAATGATAAAAATATTGAAGCATACATTTCGGAGCGTTTCCACTTCAAATACTCTCCGTAACTCCTTCGGCCAGGCACACTAATTTCAATAAAGTTTTAATATTATATAAAAAACCCTGAATTGCAGTCCATTAAGCGTTTCCCATTTCGAGCGTTATCAAATAAAATATTCGCCTGGTACTACCATGAAAAAATAGAACATCCAATTAAATATTTTTCCCATGCGAGCTTCCACTCATAATTTAATAAATATTCCTCTTCAAAATTTTCCAAATAAAAAAGCACCTCAAAAGGCTGTTATGGCCTGCAACAGTCCTCTTTACATTCGGTCTCAATTACGCACCAATTTCTGTCCCTCTGTGCGGGAGTGTGTGTGTGTGTGTGTGCGATGTGCCGAATGCTGTTAGCAATGGAAACTCTGCAACTGTGGCCGAAAATGAAAAGTTCCATTGCATTTGGCAAACTAAAGGAAAAGTAAAAAAGAAATGTACACTCGTATAGAACAGTTGCCTAATTGCAAAAATGCTGCCGGCCAAACACAGAACCGAAAAAACTTTTTTTGGCCAAATGGAATGGAATGGGTAACCCCAGTGCCCAAAAAATGGAAACTACGCTAAAAGCTTAAACAAAACCTCAATAAAGCCGTGGGGCGGGGCGAGGAAAACACTGGCAACTATTGAGGCGGCAAATGGCAAACGGAAAAGTTTGTGACGCATGCGCAAATGCCGGGCAGGATGGCAGGACTCTGGGACATCAGGACTTCAGGACTCCAAGAGACTCGGTCGGATGGCAGGACGACGAGTGATGCAAGTGCAGCGACAACGACAACGGCATGTAAATGACGCTTTTATGCTGCAATCACGTTCCTTCTGCTCCCTTTTTGTACCGCTTTTATGGTTTTTTGTTTCATATGCAGTGAAATTTTATGATTATTGCCAAAGCGACAAAAAAGTTGGGCCGCAAACTTTTACAGGCGTGTGAAAGAGGATGTCCTGGAAATGGGCCCCAGATACCCTATACGCGTCAGTTGAAGTGTCACGCTCCGATGCCTTCATCAGCCACGCCCACCTGTCCTCCCCCATCTCCGCCTCCTCGAAGTGTGCGGTGCACTTTGGTAAGTAGATGAAAATGAAAATGACGACATCGCCACGTCCGGAGTGCATGAAATTTATGCAAATGCACGGAATTTGTATGAAAATTGTTTTATTCCATCGCCTCATTCCCGCACACACACATGAGCAATCATAAAGCACGCTCGTGCCGTTGTCTTGTGCTTAAGCCAGAAATTACTCATACCACATGTTGTCCGATGTCCGCTGTCCCGCTGTCCCACTTCCCAACTCCCATCTTCCTGTCCCCAGTCGCTCTCCATCGCTTGCTGCCCCGTCGCCAGTCGCCCGCTGTGTGTTTTATGCAAATTTTACCGCTGTGCGCAACAATGTTATTAAAAAATGATAACAAGCCAAGCATAGAGCAGAAAAAATGGTTGCCAGGCGACAGGTTTTCTAGGAAATGCGACTACTTTGTATCCTGTAAGTGAAAAATAAGGGAAGTCTTATGAGTTTATGGGAAATGCGAAACAGATTTCCAGTTATCTGGTTTTGGTAATAGTTTATTAATTAAGAGGCATTCTCGAACCAATGGCAATTCAGATATGGAATGCATGATAAAGGAACCAACAAATGCTGCTTCCCATCTACGAAACACTCTCCACTCTTGACCATTATTCGATATACCTTGTGGGATATTTTACAGATAGTGGGACCCAACGACAACTGTCAGTTAGACGTTTGTTGCGGCTTGCCCCTTGTCAACTTTTTTAGTGTTGCTTGTTTTTGCCGCTCGTGATGTTGCTGTTGTCATTTGCATGCGTTGTGGGAGGGAGGGGAGCGGGCCACAGTCACATCAGCTAGGAAATTATGCAGTGAAATATGTTGCCACAGCGAGAAAGCAAAAAACAGAAAAGAAAATACAAAACCCACGACCGAAACGCACAAAACAAAGGCAAAGGACCGGGAACCCAGTTAGAAATACACACAATATATATGCGCAGAATGTGAATATATTTTATAAGTCTTGGAAATATGACAGACTGACGGCCGAGTTGCCAACATCCTGCCAGGAGGTCGTCTTCGGCGCCCCCAAGTTTCCCGCGGAAGTGGGGGTCGAAGGAGATCCTTGTTGGAAATGTAAAAGGCATGTCAAAAATTTGCAGCTTGCTTCAAGCGGCATTAGTTTTGCCATTTGAATGGCAAGCATTCCAGGAATGAAGTATTCCTGCTCGGAAGAACAGGAGCCATTAACCAAGCCGGCACTTGGCAGTTCTCCGACCTCACCAGACTGAGGTCAGCATTTTAGTTTGCGTTTATTGCAGAATTTATCATTTCATCGGTGGCTTCAAGGGGGATTGGGTGGAAAAAGCTGGCTTATTAAGATATTTAATGCAAGTTATTTGCTGATTACACCTCAAAGCTATCTGTGTTACAGCGTCACAGCAAAGTAATTTTTGTAGTTTCCAACTAGCAAGCTTTAAGTTTAAGTGGCTAAATGAGATGCGAAAAATTCTAATTTGAATTTTCATGACATAAAATAGTTAAAAGGTAATAACTAGTGGTAAAGTGGTAAAGTGGTAAAGCAGAAGCTAAACATAAACGTCATGAAGTAGTTCATTTTTGGAATTGATATTTAGTTCCCTTTAAAGACTTCACATGTCAAACTGCTGTTAGCCGTTTCGATTGCCAAATATAATGCCTTTGACTGATAGTAATTCTAAACATTCCCGCATTTGACTGGCTTTGTTTCGTGCTGGCGAAGCGTTTAATTTTTGGCATTTTGGGTGATATGTTCGTCTACTGCCATGGCTAATTACAATGTGCAGTGCCGAGGCTCTTTTTGCCAGATTTCGGACAGGCTTCAATGCCAGAAAATGTATGGGGCTGTGCGACGGCGATAAGCACAACTGCCACAGATTCGGGGCAATCATTTCATTACACACTCCCGTCTACACTGGCCACATAAATGGGAGCAATT